ACTCCACCTCGTTCGCCATCAAGCGGCCCTCCCTGGCGAGCCGCAGCAGCGGCAGATCCTCCCTGAGCAGCGCGCAGTCCATGTACAACATGAACGAGCTGACCAGCAAATACACCAGCGATGCGGAGCTTATATTCTCCGACTCGGGCCGCAAGGCAGCCGCTCTCCTGGATGAAGTGCAGCCGGATCTGCGCTCGTCCGTCAAGCCGGGACACAGCCGGCAGAATGGCAGCGCCGTTTCGGCAGACTCGGCGGCCTGCTCCGATGACCTCTACTGCGATTTGTATGCACAGAAGTACAAGCTGCCACGGATCACTCAGCGTCAGCTCAGCCTCGATGAGGATGCGTCGGCCATCTAGAGATGAAGGATCAGAGCCACACGCCAGTTCCTTGCATGCATGCACTCCAGCGACTAACCGAACCAATCCAATCCAATACAACTCCTAACACTAACACCTACACTTACAATCAAGATGGCTTACCATTACCCTCCCTTCTCGCTTGGTGCTGGTTCTAACACTACACACACAACACTCCCCACCACTGCATATTTGAAAGCTTTTCCCCTAACCAACATCCCAAGCATCGTCTGCATCCATTCGGATTTGCCATAATATTTGTGTCTTGCCAAAGTTGATTAGTTTTTTGTTTGTCAGCTAAGCGAAAAGTGAATACTTTTATCCCCCCACATAATATCGCGCGAGATGTGCGCGCACTCCATTCTAGCAGTATTATCCGAGTACTTAGTAAAAGAAACCAAAAACAGAAACAAATGAGAATAAAGATGAATCGAAAGGAGGAGAGAAAAACAATCCGCATTCCATGCATAGCAAACATGCCAAGCATTTACATTAGCATCTACTACTTACTCTAGCGACTAGACATAATCATACACACAAATATAAATATATATATTACCATATCGCAATTTTCATGATGCTTCACTGTACACACACAACCCATTACACACCCCACGACAATGCGCTGCTATCGAAAAACCAAAAACACACAAAAAACAAAAAATATCAAAAAAACAAAACAAAAATCTGTATCCAAACAAAACTTTTCTTGCCGGCTCCTCCTACTCCTCTTCTCGTTAATGCGTAAAGCAACTACAGCAGCGGCTGCAACAAGAGGTTAGTTCTTTGATCTATCCCGCAGTGTGGCTAAGAGCTGTGGATCTCATAGCTCTCATCCGCACTGCGTATTCTATGTATTGTATATTCTCCTTTTATTTCACTCTAAATGTCCCACTAATGCATGCGCTGTATAGCCTAAACTTTCCTTCTAACTCCTTCTGTATTATTATTTGAGAATTAGCCTAGTGGATGTCGTTGCTTAGAAACAAATATTTGGCACAGATTTCGATGTGTTACTCATACCTTATTGATTTCTTCGCATGGTTAGCGCCTGGAGGAGACGTTCGCCCAGCAGCTGGATGAGATGGAGACCCTGTATGGGGGCGCATTGATTGTCTCCATGCCGTCGGACACACTGCAGCGTGATCATTTCACTGGGTCCACCCGCAGCAGTCTCAGCTCCTACTCGGAGGGATGAGGACCGCTTAGATTGTAGATGCTGGATGCAAACAAAGGAAATGGCTGCAACACGGACAGAAAGAGCAGCAGCGGTAGCAGTAGCAGCATCTATGCAAAGTAAAAAAAAACAATTGTCAGCCATCCATTAAGGCTTCCGCCAGGGTAAAGAGCGCTCTTTCCATGCTTAAGCATACATATATGTAGCTATGTATACATAAAGTATGTATACATCATAGATGGACATGCATGTGTTTGTGTGTGTCCTGGCAAAGAGGCGCTTGGGGTCATGCTTAAGTTTTTGTGTCGTAAAATGTAATGCATAAGCTTAATTTTATTATTTTTGCATTGTACGTTAGCCTATTATTACACTACTTATTATTATTATTATTACCGCACTATCCACGCGTTCATTAGCGTTCCAACTGTACATGCAACACATGTATGAGCGAGCCCAGACCTAGGCCAATCCAATATGTTAAATGTACGTAACCGTCGAGAGCAGAATTAAATTTACTTAATATTTATACAGAAAGATGTGTCACACACACACACACACAAGCCAAGACCCAACCACTGGACAAACGAAACATATGTACACCCAGAAAATGTTCTTTTTTGTTGACCTTATCGCTATTGTAAATATATCTATAAATATATACATATATATATAAATATATCCCATAACTATGCAACTTTATCACACAGACAGACAGACAGACACGTAAACAGATGTACGAGAAAGTTTTTGCAAAAGTGAATGTGGCAAAAAGGAGAAATCTACGATAATATGTGAGACGTTGGGATTCCAGAACACAACTTGTGTGGAAATTGAAGATGGGCGCTGAGGCGTGGCGTGGCCGTTGGGTAAAGATAAAAATATATTTATATTTGTAAACGTTTATGCTTATATATTTTATATAAATATATACATATTTAAATTTAAACAAATCAACAAAAAAAGAAAAACAATAGCCACAAAAAAAAATTAATAAAAAAAGGATAGAAAAATTGAAATTGCATCTTTTGCGACTCTGAAATACACTTGGTTAATGGAATACCAAGAAGTGTCTCTTCTGCGAATGTTTAACCAGGAACTTTTCTCTGTTGTGAATGTTTTACTTTTCCCAGAAGCCGAGAAAGTCTCTGTTCTGTCAGGGTTTTGTGGAAACACTTTCCTGCTACAATTTATGCGACGCTAAACTGCAACAGTGACATTTTAATCAAATGCCAACACAAATACTTGCTACACTTTGCCAGGAATTCGGAGAATATGTGTCCGCTTGGCACACACGCCTTACCAAGTCGAGTGTTGTAGGGGGTGGTGGTGGCATAACGAAGAATAATGAAGAAGAATTTCAGGCCTTTGCCTCCTCATTGTGCTGGCCCGCGCGCGTGCCGATTACAAAATTCCAGCATATGGCTGCAGTGGCTATGCTACTGCGGCTATGCTCTTATTCCATTGCAGCAGCAGGTTTAGTCCATCGAAATAATCCTCAAATCAGCGCCCACTCCTGAACACTCTCCACTCCCGCCCACATAATCCACCAACCCAGGGAGCAGCGAGCGGGCCAAAACTCTTGCTCGGTTCGCTCTGCTTCCTTTTTGCATTGTCCATTTATGTATTTTTATATCATATACTCATGCTCTCGTATGACTGGCATATAGAAAGTGCGGGTATCTGCAAAGTTTCACACATGGCATACCCAACGGTATAGGGGATGGCACTCCGGGGGGTTGTGCGGGCTGGCTGGCTTCCGCATGTGTGTGTGTGTGTGTGTGTGTCGTGGGGTGATGGGGCCGGGTGGGGGTCACTGCCATTGTCAGTGCCACTGCTAGTGCCAGTGCCATGTCAGGGCGCGTTAGATCCATTGTTGTCCAGTTTATACACAACATGAGTTGCTATTAATACGGCCAAGGCACTTGAGGGACCCCCAAGTAATTGCCCAAGGGCTCAACTGAACTCAACGCATCATCGCTACATACTTTAATTATAAACTGAATGGAGAGTTACTTGGACATGCAAACGTTTCGAATTTTGAACACACATAATCGCTGTAGTTGATCTAGGAAAATCTTCAGACCCCCTGTCTGTCACATATTATTCCTTCTGCTCTGCATTAAGGAAGACTTTGTGCACTCCTTGTTGGGTTTATTAGAAGTTGTCTTGGCTGTCAGTATACTTCCCATTATATACACTAGTCCGACTAAACCCCCACGCCCTGCCGAATCGAATGATTTCAGGGTGAAGAACAGCTGCAAGATCTCGTGGTATTATTTAATTGAAATGTGAGAATGCGCTTTTCCAGCATGCCCACTTCACACACACTCACACTAACCTGCCGCACTTGTTCGCATGCCCCATTCGCCCCAGAGTCCCATTGAAGAGGCAGGCAGTGGACTACAGCTACACCAGCTGCGCTGCTCCTGCTGCTGATGAAGAGCACAAACAGGCAACGAGAAGAGCTACAAAGATGGCGAAGCGTGCTTGAGGAATGCCCGTGGGGCTCGTGTGTGTGTCCGTGCCCTCTCCTAGTCTCCTACTCCCCCTGTAACACCCGTCCCGCTGCTTTGGACGGACTGTTGCGGCGGTTTCATTCATATTCATCCATTTCTCGATGCTGCTCAGCCAGCAGGGTTTTTGGCTCCGACTGCAGCTTGGCAGCACTAACCCAATCACACACACGTGCCACATACACACACACACACACACACACAGGAGGGAGTCTCGCATTTTTCCGCTTTTACCACCCACGCATTAGCCGAGGCGCGTCCTTTGTGCGAGGGTGTCGGCAGAGGATGCTCGCATGTGCCCCAACAAACACAAATTCCAGCACAAAGAAAGCTGAGCCGAGTGGCCATCGGCTCCGGATCTGGCACTCGTGTGTGCTCCGTGCTCTCTCGTTGGCTTCGCTGCAGCGCTGCTCTGCTCTGCTTTGCTCTCATCTCGTGCGATATACCGTTAAGGTATATGCTTGAAATTTTCAGCTTCAGTCCCGGACGAGATTTGGAAACGTGCGCTTCAAAAAGTTCTCTCTCCCGCAACTGGGAGTCGTCGTCCCCCGCAGCGGACGCGTGCAAACAACGTCAAACAAAAGTTTTTTATTACATGGCTTTAGTGAAATTTCAAACAGCAAATAGTTAAATGAAATTAGCAAAAATATTGAATAGTAAAATACAAATAAAAAAAAAAGAGCAAACTGTTTTTGCAGTGGCCGTGGGTGGCGTTGGGCCTGGCGTGTCATTAGTTGTATCGAGAGTGCGAGAGGAGAAAAAATAATAAACTTGATTACAATGTTAAATGTGGAAACTTTGGGCACGCAAAGCGTCAAAGCGTAGACGCTGACGGCGACGCTGGCGCCGACGTCGCAGCTAGCATTGTGTATAATAAAATTGGCAAAAAGCCCCCGCCGCCGCACAACCCTCTTTGTAATACAGTGTGGGGCCGGCAGCAGCAGCAGTAGAAGCAGCAGCAGAATCAGCCGAAACAACCAAAGATGTGCGCGCACAATACAACAAATTACAAACCATACTTTTGGGAGCGGCAAATGGCCAAAATCAACAGCGATGCTGCTGAGCGTGCGAAATAAGCAATAAGAAGGAAAGAGAGCTAGAGAAGGAGAGAAGGAGAGAGAGAGCGAGAGCGAAAGCGAGCGAGACATAGAGCAACAACAACAACAACAGCTGGACACTTTCATCCACAAGAACGGAGAGACAGAGAGACAGTAAGCGAGAGAGAGAGTGAGAGAGAGAGAGAGGACAGCGGCAGCAGCGCATGTAAGTCAGAGCAGTGTTTGTGTTTGTGTAAGTGACGATGCTCGCACGGGCATCGGCATCGGCAGCGGCAGTGGCAGCGGCAGCGGCAGAGTAGAGCCAACGCCGTTTCCAGTGCTCTCGTTTTGATTAAACTTTGTGCGAGTAGGTCGGTGGGGCGCGGTTCGGCCACCCACCCACTGCCCTCTCTCCACTCCTGGGGCAATATGCTTAGCGGGTAGCCCAAGCATAAGGTGAAAGCCAGTCCAGCAATTTAATTTCCGCAAACAAGAGAGCAGAGCAGAGCAGAGCAGAACAGAGCAGAGTGTCCTGGCACGACCCGGTGAGCCAGCAGCATCTCAGCCATGTGGCAAGCAATTAAACTCGCGCAAAAATTAACATAGACCAGAGGAGGAGGCCCGGGTCACACAGCATACAACACGCACAAAAGTATGCAGCTAGTTTTCCACAGCTTTTCCTTACGAAAAACGCTTTCTGCTCTGCGGGTGTGGTGCGTATGTATATCCTTTAGATGTGTGTATGTGTGTGTGGGTGAAAGTAGGTGGGCCCGCATAAAATGTAGCGAGCAGCCGAATATGCCCTGCCCTGCCCTGCCCCCCAGCCCGCCACATCGAACAAATAAAAGGCGTCCGTCTGCTGATGAAGCACTCACGAGCGACAGTGGAAAGTCGCTTAATGCTAAGAGAAAACAAAAAAAACGAACGAGTTGGCCACTTAAAAATGGCTACAAATTGTATGCAAAAACTATAGGAAATGATTAACCGGAAACATTTAAAAACCAATACATCTCGAATTAGCAGGAAAGCCAGGACATTCATGGGGAGCTTATTGTTCCTTGCAGAATATTCGTAGAAATATTTGTCAGCGCAAATCCCTGAACCGATCTAATCGTTTGTCCAAAAGTGAAATTTTGCAATTTGAAATCCGTTAATTGAAGAACTTCCACTGAAGTGGATTATCAGTTTCGGAGAGTTGAACTATTAAAAGACAGGATTATATTTGATTGTGCAGTGTCACAGAAGACTTAAGATGAGACTTTTAATTGATTGTTAGCCGCAATTAAATGCTCCTCATTCGTAGCAGGAATTTGTAGACATTTCTGGCAGACACTTTCGCTGATTAATGTTTCCCCATTCTGATTTGATTTGATTTGATTAGCGGTTGCCTACTGTATTTACTTCATACTGCCGGAGCCGCGTGCTGCCAGCCTCTTGGCTGTGTCATAAAAATAGCTTAATAAATGGCAAAACAAATCCTCGCGGGCCGCAGGTTGCTCTCCACGAGTACATACACGCGCGTGTGTGTGTGTGTGTGTGAGACTACCCGACCCCGCATGTTTGTTTATGCCATTAGCCCAGCGCATTTGATAATAAATCCATAAATCCTTTTTTTATGGCAAGCAAAAAGCGAGGCACGGCAACCAGACGCTGAATTCGATTATTTGCCAAAAGGGAGCGGTCGCCTGACAAATTTGAATGTGCCCGCAAGGAAGACAGGCAGCCAGTCAGCCATCCCGTACAGCTACTGCCAATTGTCTGCGGCCTGGGTTAACATAAGCTGACGTGGCCCGTGCCAAAACACGTACTCAGGCTTGGACTTGGCCGGTGAAACTACTTTGTGTGTAGAGGTTAACCATTCCAGGATTCAAATCCCTCATAAGAGCACGAGCCGCAGTCCTGAGATTTTGTTTTTCATTTCTTAGCAGCAGCAGCCAGCACGTTGTTATTTCTGGTTTTGTCAATGCGATATGGCGGCTCAATTTGTGGCGCCCCATTGGTTTTGCCCACTTTGCCGTTAGCTTGTTTTCCCCCAATTGATTTATAGTCCTCCCCCCACCGAATGGGCTGAAGTGGGTGTGTGTGTGTGTGTGTGTGTTTGTGGTTTCTCTGAGATAAATAACCAGATTTTTGATTGATTTATTGGGCAGCGCTGCATTTAATTGGACATCGATTTGAGTTTGCCAATTAATTCTATAGTGAGAGTCAATCCAACCAAAAGCCAATCACACTCTACACGAATTAATCTCCACTAAAGTTCAATTGAGTAAAAAATAACACACACATTTGAGTTTCAACTAAACGAAATAGATTTCCAATTATCCAAAAGGAAATCGAATGAAACTCTTTTGGATTTGGCTAATTGAAACGTTTGGCCTGCCAATGAGTTGGCTCTTTGATATCCGTTCTGACCTTGCAGATAATCCCCGAAAATTTTCAATTTCAATTGGGCAAAATGATTCCTTTGTGACCCTTTTGTGTGGGTCTCCACCCTACCCCCGAGTGTAATCGATATCGTAGTGCAGACAATGAAGGAAATAAGCTGCTGGCATCCATTGAATGCCAGTCAATCATAGGACTTGGCTTCTATTCATGTCATGCCATGCCATGCCATGCCATGCCACTTCATAACGTATCTATCAGTGTCTATCAATCGGTTGGCACTGCCACTGCCACTGCCACTGGCACCGACACCCGGCATATGCGTAACTTATTTTCATTAAACAACTTTCCAAATCGAACTCAAACTCACACACAATGGCTGCCAAATGAACAGGACATGACGATCCATGCATGTGGGGCAGAATATATGTATATATAGAGAGCCCAGTCTCAGTGACAACATCAATAGTTTTGAAAAGTGTCGGAGGAAGCCGCCTCGAACATTTCCGTGCCAAAGTGTCGAGTGTCGGGTGTCGAGGCGTCGAATGGAGAGGGAGCCTGCCTGGCATTTGGCACACGGAACACACGGGACGACAGGCAGCCAAGAGCCAACTTCTTTACTCGACTGTTGCATGTGGCTCTTAGCATTGTGCTTCATGCTAACAATAATATCCGGCAGGCAGGCAGGCAGGCAGGCAGGCAGGCAGCACACACAACAAATGTCCTGGGCGTGTCCAGGGGGAGGCAGCTTTCATTTACACTTTGCATATACATTTTCATTAAAACAAATCATACAGAAAATGTCACTTTGTAGCAAGGACAAAGCGAGTCAGGCCCCAGGCATTGTAAATATATTATTGCGCTTCCTTCAGCCCCACAGCCCCTCGTGCTCTGTGGAGATGGGATATATCAAAGGCCTGCGCTTTGGACAGCTCCTCATAATTCTCGCCTTTTACTATCTCCTTGCTTTATGTCCAATGGCTGCAAAAAGGGGAAGGGCATAAGGGGAAATTGTGATACCCTAGAAAGCAAGTGGGAATAGGGGAGTCCTCCGAGGCGTACAAATTTGAAACAACTTTTGGTGGCATTCCCAACTTAGGGTAATCCCCTCGTCGTTTCGCTGCTTACACTTATTTTTATTGCTTGCAGGGCCAGTGGAAAAATGGCCAACGCCTTGCGTGGGTGCAGCCAAAAGGATAAGCAAAGGACGAAAGCTGAAAACTGAAGCACAGAGGACAAGGACACACAGCGAACGAGCGCAACCGAGAGCGAGAGCGAGAGAGAGAGAGTGTCAGAGAGAAGCTTAACGAAAAGAGTAAGGAGGAAACGCATTTGCCATGGAGCCAGTGATGAGCCTGGCCCTGGCCGCCCATGGCCCGCCCAGCATACTTGAGCCGCTGTTTAAAACCGTAACTACGAGCACAACGACCACATCGACGACGACGACCACAACCACAACGACGACCAATAGTCCGGCGCATCTGTCGTCCACGGGGACCACGCTGCTGACAGCGCTGCTCGAGAATCTGACAACGACGGCTGCCAGCGGTCTGTACGATCAGTATCCGTACGGGAATGACACGAATGGTACGATGGTCTTTGAGACAAAGGGTCCACGGTACTCGCTCGCCTCGATGGTGGTCATGGGCTTCGTAGCGGCGATTCTGAGCACGGTAACGGTGGCGGGCAATGTCATGGTGATGATCTCCTTCAAGATTGACAAACAGCTGCAGACGATCAGCAACTATTTTCTCTTCTCGCTGGCCATTGCGGATTTTGCCATCGGAGCCATATCCATGCCTCTGTTTGCGGTGACGACGATCCTCGGCTACTGGCCCCTCGGGCCCATTGTTTGCGACACTTGGCTGGCCCTCGACTATCTGGCCTCGAATGCCTCCGTGCTGAATCTGCTGATCATCAGCTTCGATCGTTATTTCAGTGTCACGCGGCCGCTGACGTACCGCGCCAAGCGCACCACCAACCGAGCGGCGGTGATGATTGGCGCCGCCTGGGGCATCAGCCTGCTGCTGTGGCCGCCCTGGATCTACAGCTGGCCGTACATCGAGGGCAAGCGCACAGTGCCGCAGGACGAGTGCTACATTCAGTTCATTGTCACCAATCAGTACATTACCTTTGGCACGGCCCTGGCTGCCTTCTATTTCCCCGTCACGATTATGTGTTTCCTCTACTGGCGCATCTGGCGTGAGACGAAGAAGCGGCAGAAGGATTTGCCCAATTTGCAGGCGGGCAAAAAGGATTCCAGCAAGCGCTCGAATAGCAGGTGAGTCTCTCCATTAAGCACACAATGCCTTTCCCCGCTAAGTTTGTCTCCTTTGCAGTGACGAGAACACGGTGGTAAATCACACAGGAGGCGGCGGCGGACTGCTGGCCTTTGCCCAATTGGGCGGCAACGAGCACGACACCTGGCGACGTCCGCGCTCCGAGAGCTCTGCGGATGCGGAGAGTGTGTACATGACCAACATGGTGTTGGATTCCGGCTACCATGGCATGCATTCGCGCAAGTCAAGCGTGGGTTGACCCTCGAGTACCTTTGCCCCAGCTGAGACTCACTCTTGCCATTTCCTCTTGCAGATCAAAAGCACAAATACAATCAAAAAGCCATACAACTGCCTTGGCAGCGTCAAGGAGTGGTGCATTGCGTGGTGGCATTCCGGGCGCGAGGACTCCGACGACTTTGCCTACGAGCAGGAGGAGCCATCGGATTTAGGGTATGCAACACCAGTAACAATTGAAACTCCTTTACAAAGCTCCGTCTCCAGGTAGTACAAAAAAAACCAATCAAAAATCAATCTATCTAATCTAAAGTCTATTGTCTATTGTCTATTGTCGTGTAAGCGACACAGCACCTCAAGCACAGCTCGCACCGCACTTGCACCTCACAATGCTGCCAGTGGGTGCAACAATTGCACTTAGAGCGCACCAGCAACAACACCAGCAGCAATCCACCCACTAAGATAAACAGCAACAGAAACGTACACTTTATAAATTTGGATTTGCTTCCTTCCCTTTGCTCACACTGCTCTGCCCCATGCCACATCCATGGCTGGTAAAAAGCTTTCAGGCTGCACTAACACTAACTGCCACTGCCACTGCCACTGCCACAAATCCATCAAAGTCCTGCCACAAACAGAAGAACAACTCTGAAACATGGCAGCGGCAGGACTGCAGCTCTTCAGCACTGCCCCACCCCTGCCACGCCTCTTTTGTGTGTGTGTTTTTTTTTTGGTTTGCTTTTTGCCTGAGTGAAGCTTCGATTTTCCTCGAATTTTTAGTTGATTAATTTCGCATTTTGCATTTTTGAGTAAATTTCATTTCAAGATTAAACTCATTTTCGAGTGGAAATTGAATTATTTTGCATGCACACACACACACATCAGTTTTCCAATTTACGTTAATTTTATACCCAAATAGAATCACTTTCAGTGGAAATTTGAGCGCCAAACAATTTGAATTTAGTTTGCGGGCATTTTTGGTGCTGAATTTGCTAGGGAATTCCAACTAAAAGCCAATAGATAAATGTTTATGAGTGCTCCCTGCGCTATCTGCTGCCGTAAATCTAGTTACCATGTGCCACAAGTTGGCTCAAATAGTTGCAAATTGAATTAAAGTCCATTTCAATTGTTGTAAGTGAAATGTCCGAGGGCATTTGCATGGACATGTGTCTATTGGGGTGTATCCCCTACTCGTTTCCCCCCTCTGTGGTTCTGCTTTCTCTCCTCTCAAATGATGCGTGCCCCAGCAACTCAGCGTTTCGATGAGTAATCGATTTGCGATTCAGATTTCCGGCTCTTCTTGTTTCCTCCATCCACAACGCACTATGAAACATGCATGAGTATCTATCTATCTATCTATCTATCTGTATGTGTGTGTGTGTAGCATCCTGTATCTGTGTGTGTGTGTGTGTGCCAGTTAGTTGGGCAAATGCATTCGCTGTCCCATCCATGATGCTGCTGCTGCTGTCAGCCATCTTGTTGTTGCCTGTCAGACACCGCACAGAGTTCTAGGGACCAGTGAATGTGTGTCTGTGTGCATGCATGTGCATTCGTGTGTGTGTGTGTGTGTGTGTGTGTGTGTGTGTGTGTATACCATTGGCACATCATCCTATATGCTCTTTCTCTCTCGTCCCGCACAGATGCACCTCGATGAACGTGATGCGGGACAACTACTCGGTGGGTGGCAGTGCGAGCGGCGTGCGCCCGCCCAGCATCCTGCTGTCGGATGTCTCGCCCACACCGCTGACGCGTCCCCCCATGCCACTCAGCTCCATTTCGCAGATGCAGGAGCTGAATGCCAGCGGAAACGGCAGTCACAACAGCAGCAATAACTGTGCCGGAGCGGCAGGAGCGGGCACAGGGAACGGCACAGCCATCGGGTTGGGCCTGGGCCTAGGCATGGCCACGGCAAATGGAACGACCAGCGGCAATGGCAATGCAACTGCAGCTGGCAATGGCAGCAGCACGTTGCCGGTTATCAATCGCATCAACTCCAGATCCGTCAGCCAGGACTCGGTCTACACGATACTCATTCGCCTGCCCTCGGACGGAGCCTCATCGAATGCGGCACAAAGCAGGGCAGCGGCAGGGGCAGGGGCAGGAGGAGGAGGAGCAGCAGCAGCAGCATCAGCCTTAGGAGAAGCCGCTGTGCCAGTTGGAGGCCAAGCCGATTGTGCGCCCTCCATCAAGATGATACAAGAGGATGCGACACCCTCGACCATAGCCAGCACTGTGCCACCCCCCACACTGGCGGCCACACGGAGGCCGTTGCCGTCACGAGACTCCGAGTTCAGTCTGCCCCTGGGCAGGCGCATGTCGCACGCCCAACATGACGCCCGCCTGCTCAATGCCAAGGTCATACCCAAGCAGCTGGGCAAGGCGGGGGGCGGCGCTGCGGGGCAGCACGCTCTCATGAATGCCCGCAATGCGGCGGCCAAGAAGAAAAAGAAGTCACAGGAGAAGCGCCAAGAGACAAAGGCCGCCAAGACACTGTCGGCCATTCTGCTGAGCTTCATCATCACCTGGACACCGTACAATATCCTCGTGCTGATCAAGCCACTGACCACCTGCTCGGAGCACTGCATACCCGCCGAGCTGTGGGACTTTTTCTACGCGCTGTGCTACATCAACTCCACCATCAATCCCATGTGCTATGCCCTGTGCAATGCGTCCTTTCGGCGCACCTACATCCGCATTCTCACCTGCAAGTGGCACACACGAAACCGCGAGGGCATGGTGCGTGGCGTCTACAATTAGATCTCACACACCACAAACCCTTGCTACACCAAGATATAACTAGGCTAAGATTCAGTTCTCGGGAAGACAAAACTACTTGCAGTGGCAATAAATGTTGTGTGCAGGAAGGGAACTGTGCGGCAAGTAAACCAAAAATAGGCTTAGTTATTGACCCATTGACAAGCAGTACTGATTTTTTGATGTCTAGCCCTGGATTATATACACAAAATATATTATATATACACACACCACTGCTTCGGGAGGGTTGCTCAGTCCTTCAAAGATTCGCTTATCGTTCCCAAAGATATGCGCCCAATGTTCATCCTTCGACTCGAGCAACCCCCTCGATATTTAGCTTAAACAAATTCCCAAACAGTTGAGCGTTGATCATGGCAGAGATGGGTTTAAATTGGGTTTGGGTTTTCCATTTCTGTTGGGTACTGTTTAGGTAGGCGGACAAAAAGAATTTAATACAAATATAATGGATTACGATTTGGAGTACATACAATACATAAAGTACATTGCATAAATACATATATCTGACTATTATTACATTAAATTATATATTATACACAATGCAGAAATATATATAAAACCTATGCATAAGCTTTAGATGTTGAATAGGAAATTGGGGGGGAAACTAAAAAAAACCAAAAGAAAACCATTCCAAAAAAGCTTTAAAACAAGTTCAAACTACCGATAACGGATACGGATACGGATACGGATACGGGCTGGTTGCATTCCCAACTTAGTTCTTAACTATAGCTTGAGGGGAGAATGGGGAAATTGTGATCGTACTCTGCTCGTTTATTGATAGGTTGAAAGTCAGTTTTTTATAGAAATAAAGCAAGCAATGTGGAGGGGTTAGCAAGAGGCAACCCCCAAATGTAAACCAAACAAATTTGTATTGAACCAGTGGCAAGGTAATTGCGTATATTCAAGTACGTTTATTTATGATGTATTACAATTGTATGTTTTAAGAACGAGACCCACCATAGTTCAACAAGCTAGGAACAAAAACATTTTTGTAACTGATACAAAGAGAAACCAAAACAACCAATGCAACGTAAAATCCAGAGTTTGTCGAAGTGAAACCCAAAGCAATAGACACAGATCAAGAGAGGCCTCCACTCGCCGACTGGAGCAACATATCCCATAGAGCAGCGCGACTCGTACTATATTTAAAATTAAACTCCGAAGTATCTTCGAACTGCACCAACAAAATCAAGTAACTCCAATAACTAAAATTGCAAGCATATTCAAAGCATATGAAATAAAGCAAATAGAAACTACTACTAACTACAGTCTAAGCAACCAATACATGGACTTGGTACACCCATCTGTGGACTATGGACTACGGATCGGAACCCTTTTTTATTGTGTCAAATCGAAGCTGAAATCAAAGCAAAACATTTGTAGTCGACTGTGGCACCAAACGCGTATTTATACCTAACGATACGATACGGAAACGACATATATATATATATACTATATCCCATATATAACTATAGATATGTAATAATTACAGAGTTTATCGCCTGGCAACCAAATAGCCAAGTGACTAAAACCAAAACTACAAACCCAAGAGACATGATTTACAACCAACCAACCACAAGGCACATCCACAAAATGAAGCATATAGTAACACCAATCGAGCAAAAACCAATCTACTATATATACACACACACACACATACATATAGATAACATAGATACGACACACACACACACAAAAAGGGAGTAAAATATGAGCAAAAGTGAGCAGATGAGCGTTTCGTGGAGTGAAGGTTTAATTGCATACAATCTAATTGTTTGGAAAAATACACTATGGATATATATATATATATATATATAGAGAGTAATACATACATACATATATCTATGAATTAAAAGCTAACAATAAAACATGTGAATGAAAAGCAGACGGCAGACGGCAGGCGAAGGCTGGCGAACCTTTCATTTCGCAGGCAAATGCAGGCTGGGCGGAAATCGGCAAGTGCTGGCTGGGCAATATTATTCCCTCTGCTCTGGCTGAACCTCTGTTTGGCCCTCTCCTTCGCCACCATGTCCTCGCAGCAACATTTGTGCATTCTTTTGGATCGTTTCCAGCTTCTGTTGCAGCAACTCCTGGCGTCGCTGCTCCGCTCGCTGCTGCTTGTCCTGCAGCTCCTCGAGAGTGGGTGGCTCCGTGTGGGCCGCCTCCTGCATTATCTGCTGTATGCGCTTCGGCGGCTGTCTCAAGGTCTCGTTTAGAGGCAGTTCCGGCTGCGCTTCACTGTCCAGCGGTACGGTAAAGGCCTCCGAGGCAGCTAATAGACAGAGAGAGAGAGTGAGACATGAATTGGGGACACGCTTGTGCACTCACGATATGCCCTTTGGCTGGCCATACTGTGCGAACCGGATGACACGGGCTGGGCTTTAATGTCGTCTAAGGTTGCAGCGGATTTGGTACTGGAACAGCCCATGCTAGGCGCAAGGCATTACGGCTAAGACTTCCGTTTTTGTGTCGCTCTCTCTCTTCGCTTATACCTCTCAGAGCCGCAGGTAAGGATAATGACAAAAGGATGCGACAACTGCTGCTGCTGGTGGCACGGTTAATGTGATTTCCTGCTGCATCCGCTTGCTTACACTCAACATTCAATTTCCGCCTGCTGTCGTCGCACTCATTAGACTTCAACTGAAGACCTCGTTTAATGAGCTCTCATTAGTATTGATTTTCTTTAGCTTTTCCGGGCTGCGATGCGAAACTGTACCTGGTGTAGCCAGGCACTGGCAGGTGTGTGCGGCCGTTTGTCAGGCGAGCGGCCGACCAACTGAAGCGAGAATCGAGAAATTGCAATGCAAAAGAAATTCCGCGCGCGTGACCATTAATAATAATAATCCCAGGGACAGGGACAGGGACAGGGACAGGGCAGGCACGAGGACAGGCAACAGACAGGATCAATATTCACATGTGGCTTGCGTGGGTGCTGCCTGTGGCCAGGACGAACACAGACAGACAGGGCCCACTAGTCCTAGTCTAAGCCACTAATGTCAATCAACTCTGGACTCTGACTCTTACCACAATCGACGCTAATTGCGGTGGCAGACACAACTTCCCCCGACATGGCCATACTTGAATGTGTGCCGTGGCATGCCACGCCGCAAGTTTAGTGACCCACTCAACTTTGACCAGCGCACTTTGATTACTGTCTCAAGCAGTTTTGGCCATTGTCAACGCTTGACCATACATAGCCCATGGCCCAAACACTAACAACTTCCGGCTGTAGGCCTCGGCCAAGACTGAGAGCCAAGAACTTGCAGCACGCGGAAGCCCGAGGCGCGTGCCAATCCACCGCCCAGGTCGTCCACACTCACCAGCACTGTGGCATTAGTATGTGCCACACGTTGCGCCTTTTGCGGCCAGGGGGGGTATCGCGCATGCAAAGTGCCAGCAGTCGAAACCAGCGGAAGCGCAACCGCTTCAGGCGGGGCTGACAAGACACTCATACGCAGGCAGGTAGCAGGTGGAGTGCGGTGTGTGTGGCTGCTACCTCTGCTAGTAAGCAATGAGCGACGTTTAATTAGGTTAAGTGTCAATAAGATGATGTCGTCAATCAATCAGTTGCACAATACTCGTAGATACTACACGTAAAATACTCAACATGGACATCCATCAAGTGGCTAAATACCAAAAGGCATTTTGTCTGTTTGTCTAGCAGAAAAAAAAAACGCTTTTTGTTAGAGGTGCGCTTAATCCCAGTACACCTATGTACACAGCTCTTTACACACTCTTGCTGTGTGTGTGTGTGTGTGTGGGCGTGGCCAAGCCTCGATAGGTGCCATGTTTAAGCAACAAAATTCCTTTTGCCTGGGACCTGTGGGCAGAGCATCTCTTGAGTGGAATCTCTCATCATTCAAGGGTGTTCTCAAACGTCTCAAGAATATATAAACAGTGTTGCAAAATGCACAATATTTAAGTACATTTAAACCTTTAAAACTTTACCTGCAACACTCTTAAAAATAAACATTTTCCATTGGTTTTTTTTAGTGCAAAAAAAGTATTTCATATATTTATGTATTTTATATCATAATAATATATGTCTCATAAAACAATATAAACTATTAACAAAGCAACTTGACCACTGCGGCTTAGGAACATCCTCAACCCGTCCCCTCTTCCTCCACTGTATCCTCTCTTTATCGTTCTGTATTCCACGCAATATCGAACTCAATTTGATGCTGTCATTAGCTTGCAGAACATTTTGTAAACTTACGTATAGAGTTTTCACTTCATTTTCATTTGTGTAGATATGCCTGGGCAGGGTTGGCAGGGTTTCTCCTTGTTTTTCTCTTCTTTTTGTATAGGTATAAAAATAGTTTATGAATATACTTGTAGTAGTAATAGTTTGACTTAGAGTAAGCAGGCGAACGTGAAATAGACTTTAGATAGACTTGGCGCAGAACCCTAATGCTGCTGCTGCTGCTGGTGCCAGTGCTGATAAACGCTATGTTCAGTGTTGGGCAAGCAGTGTGGTCGATCGTAGCGGGATGCTAGTCATATTCCTGTTTAATGATCAGCGCTGCCTTCTCGGGTGTTTGTTCCGACTTGACAGCAGTGGATGAAGCTCCCCCGCCGCCGCCTCCAGCTCCTCCTCCAGGATTGGACGTTGTGGCCGTTAATTTATTGCCCTTGATCAGGCTGGCTGCCGTGGAGCTGAGCGGTATTGTCACATATTGGTTGCCATCTAGCGGGGAACACATAATCGTGAGATCTATTGGATACTTAATCCTAGAGGACTACTCACCCTCTTCAGCGTGTAGCTGCAAGTGTCCTGTTTGTATCAGTTGCCTCAGCACTTTTGGCGGTATGTTGGCAAAGGACGCGGCCGGATAGACATATTTGCTATCCGCTGACGATGCTCCGGCAGTTGCTGCCGCGGACGTCGACGGACCGCTCTCAGTCTGATAGTTTAGTGGGGGCATTGGCTTGGAGCCGGCCACCGATGTTGCCGGTGCTGCAGTTGCCGTTGCGGTTGCCGTTGCCGTTGCAGCTGCCTCTGTTTTGCTGGCATCCTGACTGGCTGGCTGCACCTCGGTGACTTCAGCGGGCATTTCCACATCCGACGAATCGTCCGACTCATTGCCCGACGATGTTGGCGATCTATCATCCTAGAATAAAGACAGAACAAGATACAGACACTCGATTAGTGGGGCCAAACAGTCTGGTGATGCTGATCTTAAGCCAGAGCTAAGTTGAGGATGATTGGGGGACTGCTGCCTGGCTGCCTGATCTGGTCTTGCTCTGCTCTGCTGCATTCTGGCCTGCTCTGGGGTCTGTGTTGCCTGTTCTATATGCCAGCCCAGTGCCTGACAAACAAAAAAAAGAGAAGAAAAAAAAATCCAATATGTTTGAACCAAATATGGCGCGAAATTGCGTATAAGTGCTGGCCAGGCTGTTCGCCGGCACGCATCTCAATGAGTTGGCGTTGCCTTAAATGTGCACACGCGTTAAAGAATTTAGAATATTGATTTCTGACTCTCGATGGCGACGTGCACAGCGCGGGGTGGGCAGCGAGCGGACACATCATCCGTGGCATCCATCGCCTTGTCTGGTATCGTTCGCGTCATTTTAATTTTGATTAGTGCCAGAGCCAGAGACAGACAGGCACAGGGACAGGGACAGGGGCACTGGCAGTACTGGCAGTACTGGCACAAAAAAATAAATCAAAATAATTGCAAACTGTAACAATGCGATCGCCATTTTGTGCGAGGGAGATCGCAATGGCATTGCGCATACGCCGCGTGCCCCGTCCACAGACTTCCAATGAAATTGTAGCAGCCACAGAGACAGCAAAAGGCAAAATCGCATTGTTGCCGCTGACCAAAATGGGCGTCGTCGTCGTCGTCGTCGTCGTCTCCGTCATCGTTGTCGTTGTTGTTGTCTGTCGCTGTGTCGTTGGTGTCTGCTGGCAGCGAGTTGCTTGGCCAGTGGATCAGACAACCGCCTTTTGAGTGACAGCACCAAGACATTTTAATTAGCAAAAGCAGCGACGACAAACTGTCTCCAAGTTGCCATGATATACTTGGCAAAGAGTAGCCAGCAAAAGCAACAGCAACAGCAACAGCAGCACCGGCAGCAGCAACTTGCAACTGTTGTTACGCTTGCCGGCTTTTCAGTGGCATCAAGTGGCAGGCAGTGGCAGCCAGCTTTTGGTGCTGCTGCTGCTGCTGTTGAAAGTGGAGCTGCTCGTGTGGCAGAGGTTACAGAGTGACAGACAGACAGACAGACAGTGCCAGTCCGCCGCTTGGCAACAATCAAAGTCAAAACGGAAGGAATCAATAATAAATACAAAATCCCCACTCAATGAGCTCATAAATCAGTAGTTGTAAACATCAATTGTTATTTGTTGCTATTTATCTTATCTGCTGCCCACTGCCCGGATTTAATTGCAGACCACACAGCCAGCACACACACGATTTCACTTTGTTAAACACATCATTAAAATGCGCCACACAAAGCGCATCAAGAAATAAATATAATTTAAGAAAACATTAAAAACAAACAAATTGCTAATAAATAAAAAAAAAGATTAAATAACTGGCAAAAAGTAAATTTGCGCCCCCGGGTGGACTCGAACCACCAACCTTTCGGTTAACAGCCGAACGCGCTAACCAATTGCGCCACGGAGGCTCTCGAAAAACGCAGCGACAATGCGCTACATTAAGGTTTTGAGCTATGGGAAGCGCCACGCTTGATTTATATAGGGGTTGGGGTGTGTTTACATGGTTATAATTTTTCATTTTTATTACTAACTGATTAGTGCGTAAATAATAGCTGGGTTGTCTCTGAATTTCAAGATTATTTGCTGTGAAATGTTAAATGAAAACTCAGATAGTTTTAAGACATACTTTAAGTTCCTTTTAAGGTACTGTCTCTGCCGCTGCAACTATTTCTGGCAAGAGGTTGGGCACAGCACGAGGGCGGAACTGTTGTGGCTGGCACACCCACAGCAATTACCGTTTGTGCATTAACTGCAAATGCAATTTGAATTTGCTGCACTAAACAAAATCAAAGCACTGCCTGCGCAGTGTATCAAAACAGAGAGGCAGCAGCAACAGCAGGACGAGGACAAGTTGAGGAACAGTTTCATCGATAGCTCCTGCCGGCCCCTCCCCAGCACTGGCTGATGCTTGCTGGTGCTGCCTGCCAAATTGATAGTCGTGTGTCGTGCGCAAATGCCGAGCGTGTCTCATTAAATGACAATTAGAGCTGAGAGATCTGAGAGAGCTGAGCCCTGGTTGTGAGCCTGGACTCAGAGTTGGCAATTGGTTGGTTGGAATGCCACTGGTCGGGCCAATGGCATGCAATTTATATCGAAATAATGCCGGGCATTGTCTGGTTCGATCTGGCCTCGCTGGCTGGCTCTCTGCCTGGCTTCGAGAGCCTGCGACAAATGCAATTATATAGAAATTTGTCTTGCTGTGATATGTGCGGCATGTTGTTGTTGCTGCTGCTGCTGCTGCTGCTGCTGCTGCTGCTGCTGTGTGGCCATCAGCAGCTCCAAAAATAGGCAATTTGGGAAAGGCTAATAATAAATGTTTGCTGGCAATAGTCGAGCCGTCCGTCTGTCTGTCCGTCAGTCAGTCGTCAAAGCATTGAATGAATGAATTTTCAAATTGGCCAACTGACATTCACAACCAAGGTGGCATTTTATTTGCCCCAAAAGTGAATGCGAGTCAATTCGGTGGCTGCCACAGCATCAACTCCATGCAACTGCAACGTGCAGCGTGCTGCTGGTGGTGGTGGTGGTGGTGGTGGTGGTGTCGTGTGACCTACACCACCACCGCAGCACAGCGCAGCGCAGCGGAGTGCGACTGACTGAATGATTGACGGATGGCACATTTGCCAATTGATTAGTTGTTTTTACCAAAATGGTTGTTGCCACAACAAAAGGCGACAACTGTGTGGCAGTCAGCAGCACCCGCTGCAAGCCGAAGGAAGGAACAACAGGCAACTGCCAAGAGGCAACAGAAAAACAGCTAAAACAGTGTTAACCCATTCTCAGTTTAGCTCGTTTGAGATCGTTCAGCATTTGGCCAATAAACATTTGCATTTTGCATGTTGCATGTTGCCTGCTGTTGCCTGCTGCTACCCGTTGATGCCGTGTACATCTACCGCCGCTGATAACTTAAGGCCGAAAACAAAGGAATAGCCAAATGTGCTCGCCTCTCGCCTCTCAGCTCTCAGCTCTCTGTGCCAGCCGAGATGTGCTGAAGTCAGCAGCGGGCTGCCTGCTCTCGGCTCCATTGATGCTGGCGCTTTCAATGAAAACATAAAAATAAAAATGCAAATTAAGCCTGGCAAACGAAAGCACTTAAATCTAACGCACAATTGCCCAAGGGAACGACGGCACGGGGCCGGCCATGACAGTGGTTTGAATACAGCAAGAAGTTCTCGAAGAAGAAAGAGTGAATTTCGGTTGAATATTTACGAAATTATCGTCTAACTTTGTGTGTTATTTGCAGCGGTTTAGGTGGTAGAACAAGCTGTAGTGTAGTCCCTATCTCAGCCCACTGTTGCTTCATTTTGTAGGAGGAATCACACAATCACAGGACAACGGACAACGGACAGCGGACACGCGGACAGCTCTGTGCAAATTCTCAACAGGAAACGTTAAGGCGAATGGGCATGTGGGCAAGCAATATGGGGCGGCTTGTGAAAACAAAAGCCAGAAAGCCGAAAGCCAGTTGACACGAAACAGCAGCAGCAACAACCAAACAACCAAACGAACAACCAGCAGCAGCAGCAGCAGCAGCAGCAGCAGCAGCAGCAGCAGCAGAAGAAGACACACAACCTCCTACTCCACTGCGTAGACATTTGTTGGAGCTTGAAGCTGGTGGCTGCTGCTGGAGTTTGGCCATTTGGCCATCCACAATTGTCGTCGTTGTTGTCGCATCCGGGCCGGGCCCCGGGTCTGTTGCCATCCCACAATATGGAGTCTTCAAGCGTTTATATCCGCCAAGCTTTCTGGCCGGCTTTCTGTTTTTGGTCAAATCACAGTTTTGTTTCTGTTTGCCGCTGTCTGCCCCCCCGCCGCCGACGCCGCCGCCGCCGCCATATCTGGGATGTGTGTAAGCCGCTGCTGCTGCTGCTGCGGTTACACGGATTCACGCGCAAAGAAAGCGGCCAGCAGGAAGTGCTGTTAAGAGAGTCAGTCGTGAGTTCAGAGAGCGGGAAAGCGACAGTTCAAATTCATTAGTTCAGGGATGGGTGGGTTCAGTTATGAGACGGAATTAGCATCTATTTAAATGTCAGTTGCGCATTAAGATGCCACGATTGCCCTAGGCCAAGCAGCGGCGAAAAAAGCAACGAGCTTATTGTTTGCCAGTTGGCAATTATTTGACCGAAAAATTGCACTCGCCCAAAGCAACACGACGTTGCAGTGGCAGGAACTAAGTTGCAGACATAAAATGGCATTCATTTCTTGCAGTGGAGCAAAACGAAACGATTGTCCTCGGGCCTAATTATGCGTGCGACGACAGGCGAACAAGCAAGCGCCCTGGAGAACAGGACAACGGAGCCGCAGATGAAACGCCACCGATTAGCCGGTGCAGGCTCCTCCTCCACCTCTTCCCTGTAGCTCCCAGTTCCTGCAATTTATGATGGGCACTAACAACCGCAAAACAAGCCAAACAAACAAATGAATTGATGCCGGGCAGGGCGGGGCGGGGGGCAAACACACAGATGGCAACAAACGAACAAACAGTTGAATGGAAATTGCAATTATACGAATACGAGTACTCCAGGAGCAGGAGCTGCAGCAGTTCTCTGTGGGTTGCCCCCATGTGGGTGCGCGGACAAAGCTGGTTCGATGTTTAGCTGGATTTAGCCAAAACCACAGACGGGGCACCCTAACTGCCCATGCAATCTGGAGCCGGTGACAGCGATTAAACAGCAGCCAGAACCCAACTCAGCCATTGAATGTCTCCAGCTCCAGCTATGGATAGCTCAGGCTCAGATGAAGCGGCTGCTGGAAAGGTTATTCGGAACTATGGGATGTTCGGATATTTAGCTAAGTTTTGGACCAACTTTAAGCTTTGTTTGCGATTGATTTTTGGTCTATACGCCCAAAAGATAAGGAATTCAGTACTTTGAGAGCTCAACTAAGCATTGTCACAGCATTAACCCACTAAATTATACATTTTCCAGCCAATTAAAAACAATTTTTCACATATCGAATCGCATTCAGTCACAAAACTAATTGAAAAATCAGTTTCAGCACCCAGCAGCCAGTTTCAGACTGCCTTGCCGTGCTCATTGATCATTAGTCAAACGCCAAGTCTATCGTAGAATTGTTTTGGATTTCATTAAACTGTGTCATTTGACACAAAAAAACAAAAAGCCCAAAAGATCTGTTGGGTCTCGCGTGCCCACGCCCACAAACGTTGAAGAAATAACATACAAAATATTCCAGCGCTGATTTCATATTTCTTTTTTTAAGTGTGCTAAAGAAAACTGGTTACAGCCAGCCAAAGCAAAGCAAAAGGTTGGCTAAACCATATAGTATATCCAGATATATAGTTGTAGATATATAACTGAATAAATTTCAATAAATACATGCGAGAGATACGTCATTTTGTAGCAGGTTGGTGTCAATTGAACTCTCCATACTACAGAGTGGAGTGTAGCGCAGATACACACATAAATTGCCGCTCATTTGCTTGCTCATTTGTCCCCCACGCAGGCCAGCCAATGCATATAGAGCTCGGCCCCAAAATGGAATTGCTGAGCAAGTCACAGGCGAGCGAGCGCAGCCTGTGTCTATAAAATCTAATACGCAGAAGCGACGGCCACAAGTCCCGCCCACAGGTCGCCTGCTATGTGCACATAAAATATAACTGCCTAATGAAACCCCAGAGAGAAGGAGAGAGAGAGAGAGAGAGAGCGAACGCGAGAGAGAGCTGCACTTAAGAGAGCCGAACCCCAAAGAGCGTTGGCAACCGATCTGCTTGCTCGCTCTCACACACGGTCGCAAGGGGCGTTCGTGCTCTTAAGAAAAGTGTCGCCACAAAACGAGTTTCTCCTCAGGTTTCTACGGCAGCTCAAGAGACACATGCGCCGCAGCTACGTATTCAGTCTTTGAGTAACTGCGTCTGCGTGACCTGCACGACGATCCGAGGATCGCACGACCAATGGATCGGATCGCTGCTGGATGGCATCGATCGTGGTTCGGCTCTTCGGGCAGAAGAACGATCGGAGGATGTGAAAAGTGTGACCCAAACAAGAACAGACACAAGAGCTGGAAAGTGTGTGAAGAAAATTAATTACAGAACATTGAAAAGATGGTGACTTGAATGCTTAAACTAAGAGCTGAACGAATGCTGCCGATCGAGGCTGTGCTGTGACAGTAGTTGATGGATCTCTGACTCAACTGGAGGCAATTTCATTTAACTTATGGGTAAGTCCTATGTTTGTCTTAAATAAGTTACAAAATTGTGTAAAAACTAAGCGAAAAATGTTGGAACGGACTTAAGGAGATGTTTTAGAAAGTGATTAGCGCTCAGCAAAGTTAGAATATAGATTTGTGACCCCAGTGTGATAAGCCAAGGCTGTGGCAGTTGGCCCCCAACAGCTGTGATCCAGCGGCTAGATAAGCCACACACAGAACTCCAAACAATAGCCCAGCATGCCGACAACTCAATCAAAGGCCCACAATCACAAGTTGTCCGAGACTCAGACTGAAACGGAGACTGGAGACCCAGACGGAGCGCAGTCAGAGGCCTCAAGGCTCGCCCGTTCCGAGTCTGGTCTCAGTCTCGAGTTCGAGTTCGAGTCCGAGTCCGTTTGGTGGGACCGCCAAGACGGCGTCCACATTTCATAAATCAGCATGAACGGAGCCAAAAGGTGGAACAGAGTGCAGCGTGCAGCAGCGGCAAACCGCCTGCTGCGAATCCCGACTATTTATTGTATTTTAACAACATTATAAACGAGCATTTAAGTGGCGAGTGTTGGGATTGCTGTTTGCCCGTTTTGATTTGTTGTTAGAATGCAAAAGCCACAAGACAATAACCGAATATCCCCATAGTCCCCATAGTCCCCATACCGACAAAGCCGTTTCATAATCATCTGGAGAGGGAAGTACGTGGGTAGGGGAGAGACTTTCCTAGCAGACTGCCTGGCAGGCTCTGGCTCTGACAACATATGGCCATGGGGCCATAACGCTGTGTCGTTTGGGCCGGGTCAAATGTCAGGCACATTATTTTTGTATTTACGTATAATAAATATAAAATGCATGATGCATTTTTGATAGATTTTCATGCCAATAAACAAGCTAAACGAACCGCTAGAATGGTGTTTAAGCCAACACCAGCCAACCAACCCAACAGCCTCGAGGCTGGAGACCGACGACTCCCAGCAACAACGATTGCGACGACGATTCCTACAACTGTTTTTGTTACCCCATTGTGTGGGTACATAAATTTCAAAAAGCAAAGCGAACGAACAACAAACAACAACAAAAAAAGACCAGGAAGCTGCGTTTGATCGGGGTCCTGGGTCCTGGGTCCCGGGTCCCGGGCTCTCATATAATTTTGTGTCTATGCAAATGTACGCGCTGCATTCAGTTTTGCATTAGCTGCTCCAACCACTGACGCTGGCTGGGCTCGTTTTGGGCCCCGACTTTGGTCTGATGTTGAAAAATCGATGACGATCGGACGGCCGATCGAGTCTGTCAGTTTTTCGGGGACAGCGGCAGCCCAGGACGTCGCATGCGATGGCGGACCAACCACGTTGACGTCTCCTGGCTCTGGCTGTGGCTCTGGCTCTCTTCCGAACAATGCCTTGTTGACACTGATGGAAAATCTGCGTGTCACAAATATCAAAAATGCAATCGTTAGAAAGCAGGACACAAGCCTCAACAATGTATGATGGATCTCCACTTCAACCCACTGCCCGCCTGGAGGCTCTCTCTCTCTCTCGCTCTGTGTCTGAGTCTGTGTGAGAGAGTTATAGATCTGCTGACTGATATGCTAATGCCTGATTGGATGGGAAATGTTAGGAGTTGATGCCTGATATCAAGTGATTGTCTCTGGGGAAAGTCAGTTTGTTAGAGATCGCAGGGAATAATCAAAGATTAACGTCCCGGAATGGGGTTTAAATATTGGGAAACTCATTTTGCAGCAGGGAAATGTTAGCATCTTTAACTTAAAAGATTGCTTTAAATAACGATCAGCATTCGGCCTAACATGCGGTTCCATTAGAGAAACAAATAAAAATGGAATCGTGATCGAATGATCTCTCCCTGCCTCTCTCTCTCTCTCTCTCTTGTTATCCCACCAAAGAACACACAACACCTTTTCCCTAATTGAATGCCAATTTATTGCATTTATAGAAACAGAAACAATATCAAATGCAGGTCTTTAAGCAAATATGCCAACAGCAATATAGGCACACAAAAAAATCAAGCAAAAGATATTGCAGAACACTGGCAGGGGGCAGTGTTCAGCGGGAGTACAGAAAAAAGCCAACTAAATTACTTAACAAGCCCAGCGTCTGAGCTTGGCTCGAGGCTGGACAACGAAGAGAACGAGGACGAGGACGTGGATGAGGACGTGGACTACGACGTTGTCGATGATTTACTTGTGCGTAATAATGCGACGCCCGCAATGCTGGCCCAGACCCTGGACAGTGGCCTGTGGGGCTACTCCTGCAGTAGCTGCTGCTCCTCCTGACGATGGCAATGGCAATGGCAATGGCAACGCCGAGAGGCAGGCTGGGCAGTAAATGCATGTGAGAAGAAGTATAACTGGGAATGCGCCTCAATTTAAAATGCGAATTACATTATCTGATCAAATGCATTCTTCAGTGCGCTCCAGGAGGAGCTCGGTCCACTCGAAAGAGCAGAGCAGAGGGATCCCTGTGTGTGTGTGTGTGTGTGCCCGTGTGGATGCTGCACAAATAAATAAATTTTAAAATACAAACAAGTAGCGCGCGCAAAAAGCGCCGAGTGGAAAATTCGTGACAGCAATTGTTGATGAGCAGCGTGTGAACAGCAGCAGCAGCGGCAGCAGCAGCGGCAGCCTTGTCCACACCAGAACACACACCCCCCCACACAACCAATCGATCGTCCATCCAGAACTCAAGATCTCTCCCTCTCTCTCTGTCTCTCTCTCGCGAAGAAAAAATATAAAAACAATGCTGTGTGCGCGGCAAACGCGTAATATTGAGCGACTAATAGCTGGGGCTTGACTTGAAAGCGAACACGACGCCGCATCGCATCGGATCGGAACGGTTTGGATAGAATATGTTTTTCGGATCGGAGATCGCTCCATTGCCACTTGGGGCCGTGGCATGCTCGTACACCTCCGCAGTCTAATTAACTCCTACGAGCAGAGCAGAGCAGAGCAGAGCAGAGCGGGCCGCAGTTTTTAATTAAGGCGGGACACACACAAACACAGACAAGAATCAAATGTGTATTAAAGCCCAATAGCCGCAATAACAGCAAAACAATCAGCGATTCCCTACATCGTGGGCAGCAGCAGCAGCAGCAGCAGCAGCAGCAGAAACCAACGCCAAGGCGGTCAAATCAAACAAGAATTACACAATTAGCGAGTAGAACGAAGCCAAGACAATTCTATAGAACATATAGAACAACTTGCAACATAAGTAATCAATCTATTAATAATTAAAACTATCTAACACAAACTTAGCAGCAATTTGGAAGGAATCTGTGACAACTCTTAGCCAAGGGAAAGTTGTCGGCACTTTGAATGTGCATTTAACTTACATAAATATTTATGTATATGTACTGAAGTGCACTTTCTTCTCAACAAAACAGTTCCCTTACGAGTGTAAAAACAGCTTTGACAGCTGTCTGATATTTTACAGAATTATGCATGAACCTTTTAGGCTACAAAACTTGCAGCCAGTTTGACTCGAACACCTAGGAAAATTGTGCTTCGATTGCTTAAAAGTAATTTAAAACGTGAATTCCTGCACTTTATGTAGCTCTGAAAGTGTCTTCAATTAACAGACAGCAAAGGGGAAATGGTTATTTCTTATTTAATTTACTCCAAAAGGACAAAAATAGATGGGCATGGGGACGTTTGGTCTGCCTGGATACTTGGGATGCAAAATGTGACTTATTTTCCATGCTGCCTGCCAGATTCGTTATCGAATTTTGAAGTAGGGCCAAGGAGAGGCAATGAAATGCCAAAGTGCGCAAACTGTGCCAACTGCTCCTGGCCATGTCTGTGGCTATGCCTTTGATTCTGGTTCTGGCTCTTGCCACCTTCCTCCTTCTGGCGAGGCTGCTGTGCAGATGGACTGATGGACTGACGGACTGACTGACTGTCTGACTGCAGAGACATCAATCTAGAGACGGTAGGCAGGCAGGCAGTTGGGACAGACGATTGGCAACTCGTTGAGAGTTGACAATAATGACGCTGTGGACGTCTCCCGTCTGCGGCTGCTGCTGCTGCTGCTGCTGCTGCGTCTTCGAATCGATGACGATGATAGAAAGTAAAAGAACCAACGGGCAACAGCGAAGACGATCTCTGGCCTGCTTCTGCATTTTAACTGCAATTTTAATGAGACGTGGGAAAAATACTCGATATATATGTATGTACGATGTGTGTCTGTCTCTGGCCACAAATGCGGCTGCTGGCTGCTCGTTTTGTAATTTGTAAAACTCGCACGTTGCCAGCATTAAGGACATGCAGATTTTCCCTGCAGCATCCCTCCTCCCTCTATTGATCAACATTTATGGCTATATTTTTAGTGGCTGCCGTTCGCAGTCTGCGCGAGCCACGAGCAGCAACAAATTAGCACTGACAGCAGACCTCGACAGTGGGGAGGGGGGCACAGACAAAGGACCACCGGTCCGGCATCGACTCAGTTCGGCCTGCCCATTGTCCATTTGGTGGCACCATGCGGCATGACCATGATCGTCGGCTCTAGCCAATTGGACGCCTAGCGTGAGCTTTCTAGGTGGCATCCACAGAGCGAGTAGCCGCACAGCCGGACAGCCGGACAGCCGCTGGCTTGTTAAATGTTTTGCCGCCAAAGAGAACGGAACAAAACGGATCGCATCGGATCGGAACAGAAGCAACTGTCGCTGGACGAAGACTCCTTCAGCTGCAGATCCAAACTCCCAATTCGTGAGCGTCATTTGAATGGTGTGATAATTTGTGCGCCTCCTTGTGGCAGCTCTGGCAGTGAATTAATTGCGTGCCACATTATAAATTTTTCGGCTGCCCATTCGCAGTCCCTGTCGCTGCTTATTAACGCTTTTCTATAGCCACAAAATAAACACAGTGGGCAGGGGGGGTGGTGTGTGAGGGGGGCATTCTCACACGGCAGCGACAGTAGCAGAAAATTCCAAAAAGTTTCTGCGGCATGTTGCAAAGTTGTTGGGTGTTGTTGTCACTGAACGTGTGGGCACGTCAAGGCGTTGTCGCGTAAGTGGCAGGCAGGCAGGCAGGCGGTGGCACCACTAGTAGCTGATTTCTCTCTGATGTTTCGCTGCAACTTACGCAAATATTGCGCATACGCCAGGAACTTGTGGATAGAGGATATGCTGGGGTTCAGCATGTCGCCAGATTATTGCTTCCCCTCCATTTGACTTTGAATTGCAATTTGATTTCCCTTATTTAGACATGGCAGGGCACCATTTTTTTAGTTCAATTATTAAACCACTAAATATGCACACACACACATCCGACAAACAGAAACGATAATGCTATGTGTCTCTTTCTAAATGCACAAAATTTGCATATGAAATGCCGCAACTGGGGGGAGGGAGAAATCAAATTGAAGCAAAACCCAGCAAAACAAACGCCGCCGCGCAGTCGCAACAACAACAACAAGAACAACAACAAGAACAGCTATAACTACGACTGGAGCTGCGACTGGGACATGTAGCTAATGCATAGACAATGTTTTTTCCTTACAATTTTTGTTGCTTGCAAACAAATTTGCGTACTCCGAGCGCTACGAAATTAAGTAAATTACAATATTGCAGCAGCAGTTGGGGGACGGCTGTGTGTGTGTGTGTGTGTGCTATATTTGCGTGAAATTATTATGGCAATCGATTTGGGGACCACCCAACACACAGGGAAAACGATGAGCGATGCAGTTGGGTGGGGGGGAATAGTCATAAAAATGATCGATAAAATGATTATTGATTACTCATACGACGAGTCCGCGTGCAACGGACCACTGGGCGATGAGCACCGATAACGATGGCGATGACGATGACGCGATCGCAACGCTAGAGATACGACAGCAATTATTTTCGTCATAAGTCAGCCAATGTGGCGACGCAACACTTGGGAGAGAGACGAGAGACGAGAGACGGTCCGCGACGATGTTGCACTCGGGCTTGGCACGGCCCGACCACCGACGCTTTCAGCTTTTAGCTGCTGTTCGCTGTGTGCTGGTTTGTATACACACAAACAAACACACACACACACACACACACATGTAGTATGTAGTATGTGTAATTGCTGCGTTTTGCTATACACCAAGCTTCCAAATAAGGGACGGCACATGTGAACTGAGGAAGCTATAACTATCGCTGCGGGCAACGCAAATCGCTGGCGTTTCCACTTTCGCATAGATTTCCATGGAAATCAACGCATGCCGCCAGTCTGAAGTTCAGCGCATTGATGCAACTGCCACAAAATTGGTGCAGTTGTGCCAGGTGGTGACAAGTCGAGCCCGGCCAGGCCAGGCCGGGCCCCAAAAGCGATCAACGCCGATCAATGGCGACCAGGAGTCGGTCGTCGCCACCGTCGTTGTCGTTGTTGTTCTTGTTGTTGTTGCTCGCTCACTGTCGTGCAACATATGGCAGCGATGACAACGCATGTTAACAGCTTTTTAAAGTCATTGCACAACAACAGCAGCAACAACAACAACAACAACAACAATAATAACTGTCTTGCGGCTGTGTGCCACAATTCCCAGGCCGATAAGCACTGGGATCAAGCACGTTGCACGAGCATAATCCAGATCCGATCATGGCCAGCCCCCGAACTACGACAAAAGAACGAGCCAAATTTGGCTGAAATCCGATATGAAATATATCCTCGAAAAAGTGAAGACAGGAAATCTCACGCGTGCCACAGACAGACAGTGGCAGTGGCAGTGGCAGGCAGCGCTCAGTGGAGCGGATGGACTCGAAGTATATTATCCAAAAATGCCGTCTGGCGTGCCTTTGAATTAAGGTATCGATTTAGTGGAGCAGAGCCACAGAGCCAAGAGTCAGAGCAAGAGCCAGAGGCAAGTGTCTGCAGCCAACTCCTGCGCTTGCTCATCTCTCGAGTCAGTCTTTCGCTGTTCGTCAGAGTCATTTTCATTCATTGTTGGCTCGCGCTCATTGTTGGTGTGAAATTTAGCACAGCGCTACAGCGGCAGCAACATCGGTGGCAGGCCACAGCCACATCCACAGCCACAGCTGCAGAAGCAACAAGTGACTGCCTGCGGTTGCAATGAATCCGCATAACAGACATACAACCAGCCAACAGGACAGGCGGACAGACGGACAGACGGACAGACTCGCAGACCTCTTAAAATGCGGCAAAATATTTTGCGTTGTTGCTGCCACTTCTGCCGCTGCCGGGGCCGCTGCTGTTGTTGTTGTTGTTGTTGTGGCACAAAAATACTTTTTAAACGCGCTGAAGCGTCAAAGTAAGCAAAGCCCAGGCAAAGCACTTTCTGCTCTTCAACGGATACGCACAGGATCAAGTGTTATAAATGTTAATTCGCAAATAATTGCAGCAGCAGCAGCAGCCACGAAAAACTGCGTCGCCGTTTGCCTCCAAGTGTGGCAGTGGCGGAGACTCTGGCTGATGCCTCGTTGGATTGCTTAATCGGCGCCAATCAGACGACGCCACTAAGGTTGGGTCTTGGTCTGGGTCTGGGTCTGGGTCTACGTCTGGCAAGAAGTTTGTCAATTTCCAAGCAGCAGCAGTAAAGTATAATTGAAAATTTATGGCACTTTCATTAGAGCCAAGACGGAGCCACGAAACTTTCGTTTGGCAAAATGAGAGAACATTTCGGAACAAATACGGATGCGTAGCCGTATGCTTATAAGCACTCTACAATACATATTATACTGTGTGTGGATTTCAACATTTGACTTCGATTGTGGGCAGGAAATGAGCTGAACATCGATTGTTGTTCACTTTTGTTAGCCGCACGGCACACGGCTCTGTGGGCAGACTGCTGGCTGGTTGCCCCTCGTGTGGGATGTCCGCGTGTGCTTCATTATATAATGGAATCGACTCGGGGGAGATGGGCACACACCAGCGCCCATGCCCGAAGCCCAAGCTCAAGCTCAAGCTCAAAGTTTAGCTTAGAATTTATTACTTGAAATGTTTATTCTCCCACCAAGTACAGTTTGGCCCTAAGTTTCTGGTTAACTTTTAACAAAATGTAGCTGCTGCAAACAAGCTGCAAAGAACGACTCGGCAGTGGGTAAAGTTTCATTCAATATTTGTTCGAAAACTTGACAGAATTTGCTGCAGAGAAGAGAGCGAAAAGTTGCCTAATTTTATTTGGAATAGCTTTTTCTGCCCCTCCTAATTTCAATACCAATTTTTTGGGGGGAACGGAAGCACCCAAGTCACACAGTAAATCCCATCTATGAGGCAACCACTCCAGCAGACAGAAATGAAGAAAAATACTAAAGATTCTCAGCCATAAAATGGCCAGTGGAGCGGAGCTGCCGCTGCCTATATAAGTGGGGGTTTGGTAGAGCTACAGAAAAAAAAAACCTATGAGCTATGAGCTTAAATGTTTGCCTCTGCCACGCTTCACTGAATGGGCGTTGCTGCACTGGGCGTGGCTCTGTGACGGCGCTAGAGGAGCTCCGTTGGGCGGAGAAGGTCGTTGAGATTTCATCGTGGATAGCAAAGAATTTTGATTAACTTGGAAAATCATTGGAGTAAGTCCAAGTCCCAGGGAGGGAGGGAGGTCTGCACACAATGTACGCATTATTTGTTTGCATTGCAGCCAATAATTGCTTAACTAAATGTGAGTCCCGAGTCCCGAAAGGCTGAAAGCGCCTCGTTAAGGTCCGCTCAAGCAGCAGGCAGCGTCCAGCGTGCAGGCTTTTAAATAATCACAATGAAAGCAACAGGGCCAACAACAGTAGAGACAGGCCAGCAAAACGAAACGAAAAACCAACCAAACAAAAAACAATACAAAGAAATACGAGAGAGAGAGAGAAGAACAAAACGAATTGAACAAAAACAAAAACAAACAAACAAAAAAGTAAAAGAAACGCTCACAAATTGTCATTTCTTAACCTTTTCAGATTGCGAAGGCGGCGGCGACCAGCCCCACCAAACAGGAGGAGTTGCAGCAGCAGCAGGAGGAGATGTGGTGGTGGTGGGCCAGCAGCCAGCAGTCGCCAGAAGTTGCCGACGACGACGACGACGACGACAACGCGCTTGCTCCCCAGCGCACAGCACAATGTGTGCGCGAGGCTTTAAGAAATGCCGAATTCCAGAAGCCGCAGTACAATCAGTTGAATTAAAAAACGAGCGCACAGACAGAAGACGACATGGATGTGGATGTGGCTGTGGCTGTGGATGTGGCAGAGGCTGTACGTCTGGACCTGGACGATATCATCGCGTGGTGAGCGCGCGCGCAGGCGCAGGCGCAGCTGCTGCTGCCGTTGGGGACTAGGAAATTAAGAGGACATTGTGGCGGCATGCGGTTAGAACTTGCAGCGGCGGCTTAAACACAAAATCCGCCAAGACACACACACACAGGGAGAGAGAGAGGGAGAAGTTAACCCAAAGCCAAGATTCTTTGCGTGGCTGCGTTGTTGGTGGCTTTTGGACAGCTGGACGATGCCTGACAGAGGTCGCCCTCGTACGTAATCGACGAGCATTGCGAATGCTTTTGTCCTCCTCCTGCTGCTCCTTGCATCTTGTGCTGCGCACGTGGCCAACTTGGTGACGCAGCAGCAGCAGCAGGAGCAAGCAGCAGCAAATCATTGAAATGTCGTTAGAGGCTCGAGCGGCACGCAGGCATCGATAGTCAGCGGAACCGCAAAATGCTTTTAATTTCTCAAACTGATATGCACTCGTGCTCCCTCTGGAGGCGGAGGACTACAGGAATCGCTTCGGGAGCTGCTACGCTGGCAAAATGAATCAGCGGGGGCACAAGTTGCTGTGTGCAGAGTCAAGTAAGGGGACTGAAGGTGGCAGCAGTACCTAAAAAGTACAAGACAATGTGCAGGGAGAGTAAAAGAAAGAGAAAACTTTACAGCAGACTCCCAACTAGACTACAACATAAATATGAGGAAATTAAAATAGAAATTATTTGTGGGAGTTTGGAACTTTTCTTTTAAGTTTTCGATTAATAAAAGAGTACATTTGGTGGAGTAAAAGCGCTGCAAATGTACTTGGAATGAGTGCCGTGAGGAAGGGTAAACAAATTCTAGTGAACTTTACAGACAATCCATATTTAAATACAAATTAAAGCTCACATAAGTTTTAAACTCTTTCATTGTATACTTTTCAATTGTACTCCAATCTTTATGTATTAAATGTCGAAATTAAAAGCCAACAAACTTGCGAGATTTTCTGGTTGTTTTGGGGGATCATCGACGAAGAAGTAGAAGCAGTGGGCGAGCTGGAGATGATGCGCAGGTGAGCGACCATAGAAGGCAATCGGCGCAGAGTCGAGTATATGGCCAAGACACCCGCGCAGACTGATAGACACGAGCAGATATGTACACAGAACATACATACATGTGTATCCATATGCCCGCAATGTGTGGCAAATGCCAAGAGAAGTAGGAGGGGGGACAACAGCCCACTGCATGATGGCAATTAACCTTGGCTGGACAAAGAGTTGGCGGCAAGCAGAACGACCTACAGCAGCAGCAGCAGCAGCAACAGTCGGCGTACTAGCCCTGACTTTTATCAGTCAAGTCAGCTGCTGCTGGAAGCCAGCAGGCAGTAACACAGCAACAAAATGATGACCTGAACCGGCGTTGGTGTCACACCCACCACATCTTTGGCTTGTTGGCTCTTTGGCTTTCATTCATCGTCTCAAACTGAATGAAAATCCACGAGGCAGACAGAGGGAGAGAGGGAGACAGATCGGAGCTTACAGTGGCACACGTCATCGCGCAAGCCTACGCGGGACCCAGAGCCAGAGCCAGAGCCCCAGCCAGAGCCCGGGCCATAGCTTTGGCATTGAAAAGTAAGAAACGCGATTTGCATGCCAAGCCAAGACAGAAAGGGGTGGAGAGGGGAGAGCTTCGCCGCTGAGGCCTGTTGGTGCATGACGAGCCGAGCCGAGACGAGACGAGACCGAGCCAGACGACGCACAGAGAGAGAGAGCGAGAGAGAGTCAATGGGTGCTCTGATCGATTTATGAACTCGTCGCCCGCTGTCCGCTGTCTGTCATGACGTCACAACGTGGAATCGAAGCCCCCGCAGCAGTGCTTTTGCTTTGACTGTGGCTGGGGGTCTATTGTGGAAGCGGAAGCTCTTTACAACCCAACCGAATGATGAAAGGAAAAACAGAAAAATGTATGTTCAAAAACACACTGAAATTCATTAACAGAGAGCAGCGAAAAGCGAAGAGCGAAGAGGGGGCTACCCACTCACTCCGATTCGGTGATTATTACGCGTGGAGTGTGGATTGTGGAGTGTGGATGGTGGATTGTGGACTGCGTAGATTCTGTGTAGGCTCTAACTACACACTTTTTGAAGTGTTGTCCGGCAGGAGGGCAGGTTCTTGGGGTCTTATCTAGCGCACTTAACCTTGCTCTTGAAACTGGAAGCTGGGAAAATGCTCTCAGCTGAGGGGGCAGCACTCGGGCACTTTTACATTATTTGTGTTTTGTTTTTTATATCATGTTTTTTTGTTGCTTGTTTATTTTAATGTATAATATTGCGCTAAGTAAAATATATATTTGCATATACTCATTATGTACGTACGTATTGTGGATAAACTATTTTGTGGTTTGTTTTTTAAACATATTTTTGTTTCGCTTACAACATAAATTGTTTTAGGGTTATTTCGATCGGATTGCACGAGCATTTAGCATATAAATAATAAATTTAACTATTATTAAAGAAGTTCTGTTCTGTTTTCTGTTTGACAGAAATGCGATCTGTAATTAAATTAAGTTGTCGTCTTTTTTTTGTCTTTTTTGTATTTAATCAAATTAAATTTAAATAATAAATTAAATGTAAATTTGCTTTTGAGTTGTGGAAATTAGCTTTGAGCTGCGTTTTTAATTTTGTTTCTAAATAAAAATATACAATAAATATTAGTGGAAATCGGAGAGGTAAATAGAGCGAGAGAGAGAGCGCGGAAAGGACAGCTCAAAGCGTGAGTGGGGTGGATGCATGTGAAGGAATTTTGAGCATAATTTTTTAGTGTTTTTTTTTAGTTTAAAACTCGAAATGAAAGCCAATTCAAATAAACATAACTTGAGCATTATAAATAGTTCTAACAATAAGCTAAACTTCTCGGGCATAAGCTTAAAAGTTCAAAGAGCACGCTCATCGCACACCCCAAGGATAATGGCCGCCGACGCATTCGAATATCTACTCCTGCTCCTACTCTTGTTTAACCTCTTTAGACTCTTTCTAATAACATTACATACATTAATGTAACTATGTATATTTTATGTACCTCTCTGTCCCACCTTCTTGGCTACCTCTTTTAGTTACATTTTACATTATTGCACTTATGTTTTACATGTACGAAAGAAAAAGGGGACTAACTTTAAGCAGTCTCGGCTATGTGTCTCTAGTGGTTCTAGTGGTAGAAATGGCACTGGGTTAGAAGCTGCAGCTGATTCTCATCTGTATGTATGCGTGACAATTGATCTATTGCTATGGGATAATACATATGTATTTATGTACTCGCGTTTCTACTTCGCGTCTGCCCTGCTATCGTCAGGGGAGAGCTGTAGCTTGGCTATGGCACAGTCGCCTTTAAGTAAGAGTCTTGACTAGTATACGAAATAAAATAAAAAAAACATGTAAAATTAATACACACACACACACACACACACAAACACTGTGACAAAAACAAGAACAAAACGAGCGGCGAGATCGTATTGGCCATGAAGTACGATCGAAATTCGATCAAGCCATTTGCTGCACTTTGGATCTGCTAAAAACATTAAACATTAAACTGATGTCTAACTAATTTTGGGTACTTTGGCCTATGGCAGATGTGAGTCCTGCTGCACATTGGCCCCAGTCCCTGTATCTGTATATTGCCTAGAGAATCTGATGGATCGGAAAGCCTAACTAACGCTGCGCATGCGTGTGCGACATATGGGAGTGCGTTGAATGCGGCGGCGGCACGTGGGCCACATGCGCATGGTGCGCATGGCCGCCGTAGGCCTGGGCATGGGACAGGGGCGAGGCCTGGCCACCGCTGTACCCGGACTGCATCAGACTCTGCTCGAGGCTGTAGTGGGAGGGTGGCGCCGGCGGATGGGCGAGATGAGCGTGCCCATGGTGACCATAAATCAATTGTCTTACTTTGGAGTCCTCATCGGCGATGTTGTAGCTGAGCTCCGTCTCCTCGAAGCCCGTGGCCGACATGCGCTGGTCCCCGCCGCCCACACTGGGCGGATCCGGCGAGTTGAGGCAGGTCTGTATGAGCTGTTTGCCCGCCTCCGAGGTGATCATCGGCTGCAGCTTGCGCGTGGCAAATGTGTAGACGTGACCCGTCTCGCTGGCAACCAGCAGCATTACCTGTGTCCCAGTCAGCGTCGACAGCTCGTAGGCCTGCAACGAGCGGAAAGGAGGGAACGGGGAAACGTGTGTTAAGTACTCGTATTCGATGATATCGGTCTTTAAGTATCGCCTGCTATCGGGTGCATGGGATTGGGTATTGAGATTGGGGCTGAGGCTGAGGCTGAGGGTAACTGTCGAAGCGTGTGTTGCCACAGCGGCACATAAATTTCCCAAGCAAACTATGCGATTATGTGGCAGCGATAAGAACGAGTAGCAGAGAACGAAGCGTGCAACAATTAGAGATGGGAGCGTGAGGAGTCGATCAAGCAAGGATTCAACAGGGAACGAGTGCGATGATGAATGCAACATCAAAGGGGAATCTGTGAAACATTTAGAGTCTTACACAACTTAACCCATTTCTTTGTGCTGCTCTTCTCCCACGCAAAAGCCACACCAAGAGTCACGCAACCATCCCGATGGATAGATACATAGTTCCATAGTCAATAGACCCGCCTCGGTCTGGGTCGTCTCTGGAGTCGATGCCGAGTACATTAGACGGTAGCCTAAGCTGGGCTATCAACAGCTCGTAATTACTATAAAGGCGATAAAGTTGCTGTCTGGCTGACTGTATGCCTTGCCGTGCAGAGCTTCAAGAGGCAGCGAGCGGAGTGGCAGACACCGCAGCGCATAAATAACTGGCGCGGGCAAAGAGGCAGCCAACGCGAATGCTTCGGGCAAACATTTATTAATATTAATGAAATTGTTGTACACATTGTTGCTGCCTCGGATCTGGGGATCTGGTGATCTGTGATTCGGGATCGGTTTCTGTTGCTGCTCCGCTCCTCCGCTCCTCTGCTCTTCTGTTGCTGTTGCTGTTGCTGCTACACCGATTGGCTGCCAATTTTATGTGTAACATGTGTAAATGCAAACAATTGACACGGTCCGAAAGGAGCACTGAATCTGAATTCGTTTCTCGTTCTGAGTAGGTGTCGATTGTACCCAAGGATGGGTACCCTAGGTGCAGGGTCCAGGGCCAGGGCCATGGTCCAACACCAACAATTCATGTCAATTTGAATTTCGAACAAAGACAAAAGGACACGACACGAGGCAGCAGCAGCAGCAGCAGCAGCAGCAGCAGAAGGTTGGATTGGAGGATTGGGGTAAGAAATCTGTTGACAGGACAAGGCAGCCCCAGAGACCAGCAGGCAGGAGGCAGCAGGGAGACACAGAGGGAGAGGGAGCGGCAAGAGTCATTTGTTAGAAGGCGATTGTTGGTTATTTCGCTGTTGGCTGTTTGCTGTTGCATGTGGCCAAAAGGCAAAGCCGACCCGGCCAGCCATCGAGGAGCCTCTCTCTGGTTCGGCTTATCTGTGAACAATCTGCCGCTGGTGGTGCTCTGCCACTGCTCCTGTGTATCAATACGCTTCCGTGCTGGTAGCGGCAGCAGCAGCAGCAGCAGCACCCCGAAAACAATTCCCAAGCCAAGTCAAGAGCAGGCCAAGCTCAAGCCTGAAGCCTGAGGCCTGCCTCGTGATTTCAATTTAACACCTTTTGGCGGCATTTTGCGCCTTGTGCCCTTTTGGCCACGTTTAATGGTTAAGGTGGAGACGTAAAGCGTGTGGAGCATACACACATATGTGTGGATCCGTGGATCAGTGTGTGTGTGTGTGGACATTTTGCATTATGCAGAAGCGCTTTCGCTGCCTTTGCCGTGGCTCAATCGCTCTCCCATCGATCGGCCCACGCAATTAGTTTGACCAACAAATGAGATCACTTCTGATCGGACATTAGCTCACTTTTCACTTTTGTGGCCATTTTTGGTACTTGGCCGTGCCGCTCCGCTCCGCTCCGCACCACCCACGCCACACCACGAGCGGCTCTGGCTCTGAAAATGCCCAAAATTGGCCAGTGGAAAGCATGCCAACAGGTTGCCATCTCCATCTCCGTCTCGCGTTTCTCTCTCTCTCTCTCTCCCTGCTGGCGGCAAGTTCATTGGCCGCAATTTGTTGCTAGGGATCCTGGATGGATGTGGCTGTGGCCGTAGCGCCAAGCCAAAATCCCATTGTCTGCCTGTCAACTGTCCGACATTGCCCTGGACATCGATGAGGGACCACATCAAAGTCACCAAAACGAAATATTATATATATTTTTTCAGCATGTGGCAAGGGTTTGTGGTCTCGGGCGTGCGCCTGTCATAAGTCCAGGCCCCCAGGAAGGTAGCCCAAAGAACGACATGAGTGAGCGACCCCCGATCAGATCTGATGTCCCAGGGGTCAAATATTTTGGTGTAGAGCGAAGAGGGAATGTCATTTGGGGCTACGTTGTCTGTCGGTTTACAAAGGGTATTCCAATATTCGTTGCCTTTCAATGGCTTTGCCTTTCATTTTTGGTGCTGCTGCTGCAGCGTTGTTTTTCCCCCTGCGACTTGGGTCAAATATTTCATAAGATTTTGTGTCTTTTGGCTAAGATCGTGCTGGGATCGTGATTTAGCGGCGCAATGTTGATGGTTTTTGTGTCTGATTTTGATCGGGTGTTCGGTTTGGATCGGATCGGATCGAAGCCAGGCTCGGTTTGAGGCCAAAGAAGTCTATTTCAAAAATGTGAAAAATTTCATATGCAACCGCCAAATGGATAGAAAGCAGCACAGAAGTAGGAGTAGGAGTAGGAGTAGGAGCAGCACCATTATATAAGTTTGCGTGTGAAAATTGGTCATTTGAAAATGCCAAAAGCCCGGCAGTCCGGCAGTCCGCTGCCCGCGCATGACAATGGGGTATGGCGGGGGGGTATAGAATCCACAAGCACGCATCAACTGCTGGGGAGAGGAGCAGCAACTGCAGCAAACAGATGAAGGTGGACCTGTGGACTCTGGCAAGCAGACTTGTGGGTAGCCTCCTTTGAATGCAATTGCGGCGGCAAATTAACATTTTATGAAGCCGAAAACAAAGGGAAATTCGGAATCGTGGGCTACCGCGCTTACACAACGCCGCCAAAGCGGCAACCTGGAGAGTGGTGTGGGATCCGGGACAGACCCGAACAGAGGAGGATCGCTGGCTACTGTTCTGGAGCTGATCTGGCACAGTGGTGGAAGTAACATTTGGACATGCAGCTTTTACTTTTCAGCACGAGGATCATTCTACTCGAGCCACTGTGCACAATGGCAGCATAACGATAGCAGGGAGAGAGAGAGAGAGGGAAAGAGAAAAGGGAAGATGGAGAGGGAGTCCTCACTGCACTGGACAATGCGGACAGAGGAATCGAAGAAGCATTTATTAATTGCACATGCGCTCGAAACGTGGCCCAATGTCAACCATCCCCAACCCAACCCAACCCAGTCAGCGGCCACAGTGGAAAGAAGAGGAACGGTGGGATCTGGACTGCGACTCGAGCTTGGACCTCCCCCACTCACCTTCTTCATGATGCCCGTCTTGCGCTTGGAGAAGGTCGTGTAGCGACGCAGCTTGTTGTCAATGTATTCCATTTTGATTTTGACACGTCCCTTTGTCTTCTTGCCGTTGGCGGGCGGTGATTTCTTATTGGGCAGCGGATTGTATCCGTCCACATTGTCGTCGACGCCGCCGCCGCCGCCGGCGCTGGCCACACTACCGCCAGCGCCACAATTGTCCAGGCCCTGAAGCGTCAACCCACCGCCAGCAGCCGAGCGATGATGATCCTCGTAGCAGTCGCTGCCGGAGCGCTTCAGTGCGCGATGCTGCTGTTGCTGTTGTTGTTGCTGCTGCTGTTGCTGCTGCTGCTGCTGCTGTTGTTGCTGCTGTTGTTGCTGCTGCTGCTGTGCGGCATGCTGGGGACTGTGATGGGTCTGGCTGTTGCCCAGCGTCTGGCATTGCGAGGGTGCTGCTCCGCCTGTGGGATTTGGCCGCTGCATGGGCACACCTCCGCCACCGCCCATGCTCTGTAGGAGCCCGCCGCTGGGCGGACGTGCGCCGAGGGCTGCCACCGCCGGATTGCCGTACATATCGGCCTGGTCGGCGAGGCTGAGGCCTATACTACTCATCGAGTAGTTTAGGTTGTAGCGCGAGTCACCTCGCGTCGGGTCCATTCTCAGGTAAAAGTTCTCCACGGTGGAGCCGTAGAAATCCAAGGCACCGCGCGCGTCTATTATTGCTACCTTGCTGTGAAATCCGGCCGCGGCGGCACACTTTTTCCCGTTGCTCCGCTGCGCTGCGCTGCTTTATGCTGCTCACGGGCTCGGATCGGATCGGATCGGATCGCGGGGCTGCCTGCCTGCTGCCGTATTTAATTCCAAAAATAAAACACAAAACACACACCGCACGCCGCACACAGAACGCGATTCGATGGCGTTTTAGCCCTGGCGCTGGCGCTGGCCCTATTGCGGGTTTCCCTGACGCGTCGCTGCTCGGCTGAGCTTTCCTGTGCTGCCGGCCGTCGCTCAATTGCTTTAAATATTTAGCTAACAATTAACAATTGCAATTTTGAGTTTAAAACGCGAATTTTTGGGCTGCAACACACACGCACGCACGTACACACACACACACGGACACCAGCGCTGAAAAGTTGACAGCTGACAGTCCTACAGTGTTGCAATGTGGCTGGAACCAGGGATGCACTGGCTCGCGGCTGCCTAGTGTTGCATAATCTGTGCGCTGTGGCGCTAAAATTTGAATTTGTTATTCGAAATTGTGTGTGCTGCGAGTTGGAGTTCTGTTTTGGGTAGATTTTGTTTTCTATGTTGCTGGAGTTTGTGGTTTTATTGCTGCTTCAAATTGGGTGTTCCGCTTTGATTGATTTGATTTTTGAATTTAATGCCGCTTCAGTTTGGTTTTATTTCGAGTTTTATTAATTGTTTATTTATTTTCAATTGTTCAAATCGCTTAGCAAATTCCTTGTTTTGTTTTTGGTTTTATTTGTTGTTGTTTTATTGCTTGTTGCTTTACAGTTAGGGTAAATATTTTTCTGTTCATTTGGGAATTGTCTCGCCTGCATGTAGAGTTTGTCTTCTTTGCTGCTGCTGCTTTTGCTTTGTGGCACTTGTTTGGAGTGTTTGACTTTATTTGTGGCAACTTTATTGTGGTTAATGCCTAATACGAATACGATCCGCCAGCGGTGCGTGTGCGATTTGGATTTTGGATATCTCGGAATCGGATTCGGATTCGGATTCGGATTCGTATTCGGTTTTTGGTCGGGAGCAGGGCTGTATGACTTGCGATCGATCGTTGCCTCCGTTGTGCTTCAGATGGCTGCAAAATACTTAATAAATCCCAACGTATGGCCAGCGACGGCGCAGCGACAAATTTAGCTGCGATCCAAACTTGGAGCCGGACCGGTTTGTCTCTCTCTCTCTCTCTCTCTCTCTCGATCGCTCGCTCTCTTTGCTTCGGTCGTAAGAGAGAGAGAGAGAGAGAGCGAGCCTGAAGAGAGTCGCGCTCGTCTTTATTTATTTATCGTCTGGCAGAGACTGGACTGCTGTGGTGTGTGCTTATGGCTTAATTAATTAGAAACCAGCCATAGCCATAGGTGTATTATCCGTGCATAGGCGCTGCCAGCGACACGCCCACCCAATATGCATACAAATTCTGGCTCCTCTCCCATTTCCGACTGCTACCCCGCCTGCGCATAGATCTCTGCGCCTCGACTCTTTCGCTGCCTGAGCGTGGCTCCTCCCCCTCTTGGGTGCCACGGTTCGTGATTGAGTTTTGTAATTACATTTCGACTGGGCTCTGGCTGTACGCCATTTTCTTGTGTGTGTCTCAGTAGCTGCTGCTGCTGCTGCTGCTGCTGCTTATCAGTGCCGCTGATTAAGTTAATTTGTTATTTTTTAATTTCTCTGTTGTGGCTCCTTTCTCTTCGGTGTCCCTTGCCACTCCCTGCTCCTGCTGCTGCTGCTGCTGCTGCTGCACACTCCCTGCCTTGGGAGAGGCAAAAAGCGATACACTTCAAGTATGCCAGGAATGCCTCGAGCCGGCCAATATGGTCAGAATGCTCTAGAGGATTTGCGTGGTGGGCCCCACTTGTACACACAGACAGGAGTACGAGTATTTCACCAATGTCCTTAAATAGATGTTCGCAAGAAAATTCTGCTGCTGCTCCCTCCCTCTTTGGATGACTGAGGGGGTGCCACGTGCAGCGACTAACAGATAGCCAGCGATACGATAGGATGAGTTTGAGTACATCTTCTCCGTACATCGATACACTCACCACTCGGCGGAGACTTCTTGGCCGCTGCTGGCTGCTGCCTGCTGGCTGCTGATGCATTCCTCGCTTCGATTTTTCATTTTCCCCCATTCTGCAAATGGTCATCATTGCCTTTTCCAGACTCACGCTCCAGCCCCGTTGCCTTGTTGTCGTTGTCGCCAGCTTGTCTCTTCCGCGAATAGTCCAGGCTGGAGCCCAGTACAGCTCCCGAGTTGATGTCTAATGTCTGATGTCTGTCTTCGATGTCGCTGTTGGCCCCGCTGCCCCGCTGCCACTTGCATTTAATTATAATGAAATATAAAAGAAGAACTCCTCGATGGTTTGTCTACCTGCCTGGGCTGCCTAATGATTTAAATTAATCATAATGACTGTCAAAATAGAACGTTTGCCGCTGGCTGTTGGCCGCTGGCCTTAGCTTCATATAAGGCTCGATCCACGCAGCGGGCAGCCAACTGGGTTCGAGGTGCTCGGTGCTCGGTGCTCAGTCCTCAGGTTCATCCATCCACCCACAGAGAAAAATATTAGGGGGCAGCCAGAGGCAGAAAACTTTTACGAGAAGTGCAATTTCTCTACCTTAAATGTGCCTCAAAATCCTCCCACAACCCAGGGGCGCACAGAGTGCAGTTGCTGCCACGATTATGCCCTCCATTTCTCTCAGTGCCTAAGGTGCAGCTCCTGTTCCTGCTGCTGACATTTCATCATACTCACACGGCCTGGCGTGGAGCTTTTGGCCCGTTTCGTACCGGTCTGGCTCTGGCTCTGGCTCTGCCTCTGACTCTGCCTCTGACTCTGGCCTGTTCTATGTCTAAGGTTCTCACAATTGTAGACGCGTTCTGTGCAGCGCTTACTAATTGGTTAGTTGGTTGGCTGGCTGGCTGGCTGCACTGAAACTGCAGCCTCTGGTCTCTGATCGGGTCTCGTCTGGCTCCAGAGCGGCTGTCTTTCTAGGCGATCGTCAGCCTGTCTGGGAACAACAGCAGCAAACAAACAACAACAAATACAAATACAAATACAATCACATGTTGTGTATTTCTGTGTTTTTTTTTTGCCATTGAATTTTCACTGGAATTTCTCTTCTCTCGCACATTTCTAATACTTAATTATTTTGCGAGCATTTTGCTTGGGCATCTTACGTGCTTCCATGCCAGCTATGGGGAGGGCCTCCTGCTGCTGCTCCTCCGCTTGTGTAATCCTGCAAAGTTCACCTTCAAAATGTAACGACAGCAGAGCTCAACCCAAACGGTGTGTTCCCGAAAATGTATTTTTATAGCTCACGAAAATACAAGAAAAAAGAGCCCGAAAAAATGTTTGTTCCATTTACGATTTTGATTTGCTGCAAGCAACACACCAACACACACACGGAGTAGATATAGCCACAGATATTTTTGACTATTTATAGAGCAAGCCAAAAGCATTTTAAATAGTCTAAATATGTAAATTTCTGGCGTTTGTCTTGTGCTTTGGCAGATACAAGACGAGCTATGTTGAGAGAGATGAGACGTTGAGACGAAGGCATCAAGAATGCAGCACTAATCATAGCTGGTCCTGGATCATTATCTTTATTATAATTCAGCGAGTTGAACATCCTATCTGCAGCCAAAAAAGAGAGGAGCCTCGGAGCTCAGGTGTCTAATTGGGCGCTGGGGTGACAATGAGCCACTTAGCCCAGCCACAGAAAGCCAAAGCCAAAGAGGATAAAGACACAGGGAGAGGTAGAGAGCGGGAGCTCCCCCGCCAACGCCAAGTCAAAGTCAAAGCCAGGAATCAGATTCAGAGTCGGCAGTCGGGAGTCAAGATCGAACCAATTGGCAATTGGTACAGGCGATCGCAATGTTTCTTTGCCTCATGAATAACGCATAAGGATACGAGGCTTGAAGCTTCAAGCTTAGGCTCGCCAACGGGCATTGGGTTTGGGTTTGGGTTTGGGTGTTTCGGGGCGATGCCTTTTGTCAGTGGCAACTGTCCCTGTCCCTCTGCCCTCTGTCTCTGTGTATTTGTTGTGTCTGTTACAATTTAAATAAAATTGAGGCTTTGGCAAAACAAAAGGAAAAGCAGCAGCAGCAGACACCACCCTTTATTTGCGGTTTGGATTTTGGTTTTGGTTTTCTCTCTCTGAGCTGCAAGTACCGTTCCGACTGTGTCCGACTGTGTCCGGCTGTTGGGGCTGAGGCACAGGAAACAAAAGCACCGCTACAATCATAAAACGATTAACAGGTCGTGACCATTTCACCTGATTATTGGCCAAGCCAGCAGTTGGCTGTGCAGGCAGTGGCCTGTTCCCGGCTTGCCACTCATTTGCATGCAGCGCGGAACTCCTCTTTGGTGGCACTGTGACAAGTGCAGCAGCGACGGAAGTTCAGGCCAAGCTCTCAGCCCATTCCACCCGCCCTTCCGTCCTTCCTGTCCAGTTAGAACTTCCTCGCTTTCAGCGCTCAGCATTAATATTCCCTCAATATATTTAATTATGACAAAAGTCGAGATTGCTGCGTGCCTTGCATGACAGTGGGCCTCATCAGTCCCTCAGGCACTGGAGGCCTGTGGCTCTGGACTCTCTTTACTTTCGGGTTGACGTCAGTTAGCTCGAGGCCTCTGCTTCTGCTTCTGCTTCTGCTTCTGCCTCTACAAATTAGAACAGAATTATCCCACGCATCTCGGATAATGTACGCGAAATACTTGATCGATTGCCAGCGATCGATAGTTTGTTGTTGCTGCTTCTGTGCTGACAAGAGCTCTGCAGACGAGGAACGTCTGCCCCTGTCCCAGACAGGCCGCAAACCAACGGAGCAGGAGTTGCATGCAACATCAGCTCCCAAGCTGCTGATCGTCGCATCGTCGAGTGGCACAACAAATTTCAGCGCGTAGAACGGTAACTTATTTTTTTTCCTACCCGCTAACCAGAGGGTATTGAGGGGATATTAGCCAGGTACAAATGCTGCCTGGAGGAGTCTCCACAGTTGCAGCAGACTGTGTGCAGGGTACGCCCCATTCGAGAACTCCCCGCAGACTGAAGTCCACTTATTGTCAGGCCATGGCAAGGCAGCAGGCAGAAGGAGTTGGAGGCTCACAGCGATGTCTCCAGCCTGGCTGTGATAAAATGTGCGTAAGTGATCAGTTCGAACGACAACGACTTGGAGTCCAACTTCGACTGCGACTCCATCTCCGACCCATGGCCAGACTGCGGCGACTCCGACTCCGACTCCGAGTCTTTGCGTTGGGGTTAAAATTCTTGGACTTCTGCGATTCTTGGGGCTTGTGGCTTGGGGCTTGGGCTCTTTTTTGCGCTGCATTTCGTTTCGTTTTGCTGCTGGCTTTCAACTCTCCTGGCACTCCGCTTGGCCACTGGCAACTTGAAAATTACAAGTATGTAATTTTGCTGAAATCAAGCGCTCATATGAAAATTCCATTGGCGAAGAGCTGTCGATCGATCGATCTCTCGGGCAATTGTGGAGCATTTTTAATTTGTGCCTGGAAATCAGAGCAGCATGGAGTGGGGGCTGAAGCAGAGGACACAATGAGGGTACGTACGTACATACAGCTTGAGATACAGCTCGGACTCTGACTCTGACTCTGACTCGGA